GGGGGGGGTAGGTTAGACCCTTACTTACGTCACGGGCTTAAGACAACTTTTCGGTCCTCCCCACGTTTTTTATTTCCCTGTATTTTTTTATGATCGTGTCGTAAGTTAATGTGTACCCGCCTTGATGTCCCTCCGTCTCTCTCCTTTGCAGTGATGGACGTGGCGAGCGGCGAGCTGGGTGACCAGGCCGAGGCCATGGAGCGGCTCAGCTCCGAGAAGGTCTGGCGGGCGGAGCGCGCCGTCGTCCGAGGTAAGTCGAGGGAAGGCCCCGCGCCCGGCGCCCGGCGCGCGTTGGGTTGCCCACCTCCACGGCGCCCGTCCGCCCCGTGCTCACTCTTTGCCTCCCTTCTTTGCAGACCCCAGCCAGGAGACGACTGAGAAGGGGCTGCGGAAAGCGATGGTTCTCATCAGAAAGCCATCGGAGTTCGACCGCTTCTGGGTTCTACTGCACAGGAGTATGATCCAGTTGTACAGAGATTGGGTAAGAGTGCTTCATGGCGTACCAGAGGAGTTCTCGAGTCCCTATATACCGGGCAGCCGTGGTGAACGTTGTTATTGATGTGTTACAGACTGTGACACACCTGAAACTTGCTCTTCATTTCGTGGTCGGCATCATATTCGGCCTCTACTTTACGGATGCTGGTTGGGACGGCTCCAAAACCATCAGCAACTTTGGTTTCTTCATGGCGACCTGTGTGTACCTCGGCTACACTTCGATGATGCCCGCTGTTTTGCGATGTGAGTGCAACTTGACTATGTCGTGTACAAAACAGTTACCGTGTCATTTCTGCCTCACCTGTCAATTACTGTGCCCACTTTCAACTGCAAATGGAGCTTTTCCTGCAATTGTTAGAAAATAGCGTTTACTCATGTTACGGAAAATTATGATAATTATCGCCCCATCCGAAACACGGCACTTGGCATGGGAAAGCATAGCAGTTAGTTAATCGCCGGTCGTTTCTGTTTGTTTGTTTTTTCAGTCCCGCAAGAGATGAACACTCTCAGAAAGGAGCAGTACAACAACTGGTACAAGCTTCGCACATATTACATCGCTTACATTATCGCCAACATTCCTATCCAGGTATGTAGAAAAGAAGTAAAAAGTTGAATTTCCCGCCCGTCGCGTGTCTCTGCGCTCCTCGTTAAGGAAGAGTGGCTAATGAACGGGTCGGGTGGGCGTCGCTGCACGAGAGCGGCACTTATTGTATCAACCCGCTGACCCTCTCTCGTCCGCAGATGCTGTTCTGCACCGTGTTCGTGTCGATGGCGTACTTCATCTCGGAGCAGGTGGCCGACTGGACGCGCTTCGTCATGTTCCTGTCGATATGCCAGCTGCTCAGCATCATGTCGGAGAGCATTGGCCTGTTCCTCGGTACTACCTGCAATCCCATCGTAAGTAACCCCTCCGACTTTTGCGATCGTCCAGAAAGTACATCCATTTTCATCAGATTCATTCGGCAAAATGCGGAAGCTCGGCGCCTGCGAGACTCGGGGTAGGCCACACCGCAGTACACACATGCACTGCAGACAATATGTTGCCTACCCAGCAGGCGCTATGAAAGCCCATGGTCTGAATTTGGTGGTTTCGTAGGGGCGAGCGAATGACGGGCGTACTTTATGGACGATCCCTTTTTCCTAGCTCTCTCGCTCTCTGTCTGACGCACATGACTTACCGCACTCTGCCGTCTCTTGTCCTCGCAGAACGGTACGTTCCTTGGCGCCATCCTGATCGCCATCGCCATGCTGTTCGCCGGCTTCCTGGTGTTCCTCGCGCACATGCCCTCGTACCTGTCCTGGGCGGCGGACCTCAACTACATGCGCTACGCGCTGGAGGGGCTCTCGCTCTCCATCTACGGCTACGGGCGCGAGTCGCTCGAGTGCCCGCGCTCCGAGATCTACTGCCACTTCCGCGTGCCCGGCACGCTGCTCACCGAGGTGGGCATTGAGGACGGCCGCTACTGGATCGATGTCTCTGCCATCTCGGCCATGATCGTGGTGCTGAGGTTCGTGAGCTTCGTGACGCTCAAGCGCAAGGTGGCCTGCGGCGAGCGTTCGTCGTGAGCCTCCTCGTGGAGCCGACCTGAGCCTGGCTCATGCCCTCCTAATGCCTCACGTGCGAGATGCGAGAGCTCCGTCACGTCGGCGTGGTCGTTCCCTCCCGCCCCCTCGGGCGGGGCACGTACTGATGTGATACGTGACACCTTGGGCCGGACACGCTTCGACAGGTGTGACAAGCTACGGAGATCTCAGTGATATTAATGAATTTTAGTTAGAAAACTTTCCAACTGCAGAGCCGATATTGCGTTCCGATGTTTTTGTGATAATGTGAGATGGTGTTGTGTGGAAAATTCGTGATATGATGTAGTGACATAGGGTCCACTGCACCTGCCTTCCTGTGAAATTACCTGAAATTGAGTTGTTGACATGACACCTTGTCAAGATGCTATTGGGAAAGTTAAGGGAGCAATACTTAATATGATTTAATGTTCAACAAGCCAGTACCAAACTTGACCCTTCTCTATTTTTACTAGTTAAAGTTTTGTATAAGTCCCCTTGTAAGTGTACTTGTAATAATTTTAGAAAAATTATTTTTAAGTATGTAGACTTTTTAAATATATCTAGAATTGTACTACATGTGATTTTGTGCAACTGCAGGCACTGGCGTATTAAGGTTGAATAATTGAGTGGAACTATCCACGTTGCTCTCTGTGATAAATCAAACATTTTACTTCATAGTGCACAGTAAGTGCAAACCAGTAGATCTGGCTTTCAATGTGGCATACATTATCAGCATATGTTTCATTTACCTGTGTAGGGTCTATAATTTATCAGTTGTCTTAATGACAATGTCAAATTTGGACAATATTCAAAAGTAATTTTTGCTAAGGATATAGAATTAGATAGGATTATTCTTTGTTGCCTTCCTAAGGCATTTATGTGTTACTTCTTGTTTGTTTTTTTGTGTATCTTGTGTGCTTTTTATAAGCTCTCTGAATTTTCCAACAAATATTGTATGCTTCTCCATGGCTGTGCTTGAGATTTATGTGTGATCTTTCTGTGGTGAGTGTATATGCATATATATGTATCTATATAATGCACTACTGTGTGTTTGATTTTCCTTCACCTAAATTATTTAAGCCTTGAGGAGGAATCCCACTGTTGTCAAACCCAACTATTGAGTGCTTGTGGTTTCAATAAATTTGAGACCGCTAAATTTTACTGAGAACTAACTTCATATTTTATCAAGAGTCACCCAATTTTATTTTTATCTAGTCTTCAAAAACTGTGAAGTCTGTAACTATGTGGTAACAACAAACTTCACATGATTTGTTTTGATACGGTGCAATGTAACATCCATAGTAACTTTTCTAGTCATGAAAAGAAGATTATGATAAATGTTTATATTTTGCACTGCTATCACATTAAAATTAGTGTTTATTTATGTGAATAATTATTTAAAATTCAAAGGTGATAATTGAAAGGTGTGAAGGAAGCGGTCAGACAGAGAAAACAGGGTTTAAACTATGCACAGGGTGTTCCATAAGACCACGCACGGTTTTGCTTATGCTCTACGGCACTACTGCATTCACGCGCGTGAATGAGTTGCCTACTTGCTAGGCGCCGTCAGGCGCATCGCTGAGCCACGGTAGGCAAAGCCCGCTCGCCCGCCCGCCTGCATGACGTGCAGTATAAGCAAATTAAAGTACGGGGTCTACAGGACACCCTTTATACAATTATGTGATTGGTTTGAATTTGTGAAAACAAAAAACTAAGGATATCTAGGTTTGTCGGGTAAACAACTTGGATCTCATATCAAGTGAGAACTGCCATTGGCCATTTTAGTCCTCACAGGTTGTGATACATAAGGTGTATGTATGAAAGAGTGCAGAGCTTGGAGAAGCCATCTTTCTGAAAACAAGATGGTCCTGTAGTACAAATGAAGCAATTTATTCCTGTCCATTGATATCTTCATTGATAATACATGACTGCTATTCTGTAGAAATTTTTGAATGCAGATGTTTTATATAATTTCTTTGTGTAAATTATGCTGGTATCTCTTATTTTGTTTATTCACCAACAATGTGCAATGTAAATATATTATTAAGTAAAGAATGTCAATTCCTTGCGAATTTACAGTATTTAATAAACACATAAAGGGAGAAATAGTAATTTAACATGTGCTCATCATTACCTATGTCTCATTAAATTAAACACTGTAATTCTCGTTTTGTCATTCGCTTTATCCTCAACCAATCCTCAACGTCGGCCAAACACACAGTTGTAAAATTTGTGGTGCACACGATTCAAATTTATCCTCTCCTGGCGCCATACCAGTTGAACTATGAAAAATTTACATGCACGCAAAGAGTTACTTTACTGTATGAAAACAAAAGCAAGGCTTATAACCTAACATTTTTTAAAAACAGATCCACATCACCTGTGTTTACAACGAACTGTCAGCTATCACAAAGAAAAACCTTGTTTCTAAATGTTTGCTGCTTCGGCACTATTATGAAGATGGCTCTTCCGAACGCTGTGGAAAAATTGAACGAAGAGCTAGGCAGTGACATCAAAAATCTGAAAAGATGTCACGAAATATTCGAAAGAGTGAAAGCAGAAAAAGAAGCAATAGAGAAAATGGTAGGAATCGCTTTAGTAGCACATCCTTGAGTTCTCTTTGACTTGAGATCTCAATTTATGATACTTCCTGTCACTTGTGATTTAAATATAAAAGGTTTTATTTGATCATAGAAGATATACCATGATTTCACATTATTTGCTGTTTCTATTTCAGTTGTCATTAGCAAGTAGTGAGGTTCCATCTCGTGTCAGTGCAGCTGTGCAACAAGTTGAACAAACATCTCATCAGATTGCTCGTCTCTCTGATGAAATGGCAAATTTAGTGGAGATCAGTAATAAACCATTAGAAGAAGGAGAAAATATCATCAGTTCTTTGCAAGATGACATGGATAAAATACTTACTCTTGAAAGAACGAAGTCGTACTTAAAATGGCTGCGTGCAGTTGAAGACTTAAGGTGCGTTTTTGTTTTTGTTTTTTTTACAGACAATTTTGTGATTGACGGAAACATTACTGTGTTCTTCATTCTGATTCTCACAGTTGTGAATTGGAGTCAAGCTTGCATGAGCAAGCTGATGCCCGATGTGTACACTTGTTCCAGCAGTTAAAGACAATGTATGAAGAAGTATACGGTTCGCAATGCTCTCATTTCATTGCATTTTTGAGAGAGACACTACTTTTCTGGCATACTGTACTAAAATCACAGTTTTCAAAGTTTGTACCATTTTTCTCTTATTTCCTCTCTAGCTTGATTTGTTCTCTTAATATTATAGACACAATTTTTTCTTCTAGGGAGTTTGAGGAAATTTTGCAAGTAATTCGATGGCCATTTGTCAGCTCAAATGGTGTGGTGACTTCTCCTCCTCCAGCAGAAACTCTATCACGCTTTCAAATTTTGACTGAATACCTTTTAAAATTACAATTACCGTATCCTTTCTCTTTTGTCATAGTACCTTTAATTTTTTTTATTCCAAAGAAAATCTCTTAAAAAATTCCTTAACCAGCAGCCAGAAACGAAGCTGAAGAAGTAGTTGACTCAGCACTTTTGACAGATACTCTTCCTCTTTCTCCGCCATTACAACTTCTACTTCGTCCCTTACGACGTCGATTTGTCTTCCATTTTTGTCGTCCTGATAAGGAAACAAGCAGACCGGACAAGCCAGAATGGTGTTTCACTCAAGTAAATTTACACTTTAAAATAATATCTACCTGAGTTGCATTGGTTGATCATTTCTAAAATCTTCACTAAGCAATGTCACTCTTTTGACTGGGGATAGGTACTTGCCTGGATTCGAGATCATCATCAATTTGTTGAACAGTGGGTTCAACCAGTTATGGACAACTTGTCACTTCAGCTTTCTGCAAGAGTATGTTGTTTTGATTTCTGCTTTGTTAAGACAAGTAATATGTAAGATGTATTCACATTCCAAACATTTTGTGATCTGTAGACAGAGCTAATTAGAGGACTTGTTCAATTGGTTGCTGGAAAACTTCATGCAGAGCTACCGACACTACAGTACGATGATCTACTATTCTCACATGCTGTGGATGAAACCTTGTCTTTGGCTCGTGAACTCCGTGATACCTATGGGTATAATGAAAACACACTTTTGGCAGTCTTAACTCAAGCATCATTATTTATACGGTGGCTTCATCTGGAGAAAAAACGTAAGGGTCTTTATAGTTCTTCTTCAATATAAAAAGTCAATCACAAAAAGTTGCATAGAAAGTAAAGATTGTTTTTTGATTTAGTTGCCTCTGAGAAGATGGATGCTTTACTGAGCTGTGAAACAGCCTGGTCACCACTTGGGCCTTCAGATCTGGATGACATGAAAGTTACTGAAAGCATTGATAGTTTTCTTTCATTACTTCAAGCAATAACTGAAAGATACAGTTGTCTCCCCCAACCTGGGCACAGGTCTTTTTTCCTAGTCATTTTACTGACAGTAAGCCTTTACCAAATCCTAGGTCTAGTTTTTTAACCATTTCCTTTTTTCTTGAAATCAGGTTGCAGTTTCTTGAGCTCCAATTGGATCTGCTTGATGATTGGCGTGTGAGGTTACTTCAGTTAATCCGAGTGGAACCTCAAGACCCTCTACAATCCAAATCACGTGTGCCGGCAATATTAAACTCAATTAACTATCTAACTTCAGTGCTCTCAGAATGGGGAAGTAACATAGTAAGTTTAATTATCTTACCTCTTGGCAAAGAATTGCTATAAAATTGTATTCCACTATACAAACAAAACAACTTGTACCATTTGTTTTTTAGCATTTTCTTAGCTTACAATATTTTCAAAGTCAGCTTAATTCTAGTAGAGAGACGCCAACTGAAAAGGAGTTGGAAGATACATCTGGCTCTGTCTTTGATGAAAGTTTAGAGTTATTTGAAAGGATGAAGCATGACCTATTGAACACTATCTGTGAAGCAGTTCTTTTGGATGTGAAAGCCCCTAGCAGGCCGTACCGGAAAGATAAGTGAGTAAAAGATGGATTAAAACTTAATGCTCTTTTAATTTTGCCAAAACCGAATGAAAACTTCATTATCAAATATTCTTTTTAAGGTGGTTTGTTATGAGCTCTCCAACTGAACTTGTGAGTGCAACCCTCACGCCCAGCGCTTGTCCAATGTTTAGAGTTCTTTCTTCACATTTACACACACTGCAGCAAGTACTGGCTGTTCCTCTTTTTGTAATGGCTTGGACTCAAATAGCAAGTAGCCTATCTCAGGTATTTTTAA